CCCCAGAAATCGGTCCGATTGCAACGAAGCGCATACGAATTACTCTTTAGTCTTCCTCAACATCTGGCTAAAAGAGTGATCACCCCATCAGAGGCCTGTAACAGGACTTGCGCAGTCGTTGGCAACAGGATATATTCTTCAGATATCGTGAGGATGGCTGAGATGGAAGAGACGCCAGCGCAGCGACAAGCTCGCATTCGCCGACAGAAGCGGGAAGCGAAAATCACAGGCTCAGCGGCAGAGAGACTGGACAAGATTACAAGATTGAGTGGAAGGACCCCGGAAAGCAGTGAGTGATACTCTAGGCACAGATCTGTCGTGCTTGAACAGGAAATCATTTGCACGCGACATGCGACTACAGGACATTTGCCAGAAAAAGCAGGCTAAGAGGTTCTACTCACAGTGCGCAACGAAACCCCAGTTTCAACGCCACCTCCAAGATCTCCTCCAGAATCGATGGATCCACCGCCTGGAGGACCCGGTGCCTCGCCGACGGCGGAACAGCTAAAAGCGCAGGAGGAGTACTTGAAGGCAATGTTGCGACAGCCCTTGTCACAAGGAGGACCAGGCCAAACACAGGAGGAAGACCCGATGTTGAAGATGCTGCAAACAATGATAGGAGGAATGGATAGTTCAACAGATCCCAATGCTCCTGGTGGGATGGGTGCTGGCCCCGGATTGTCTCCCGACGACATCTCAAAGGTAACGGGCCTTCCTTCCTTCCTCACGAACATGGTGATGGGAGATCCGAAGGCGCCACCTAGCCAGGCCGAGATACAGGCGACACGCTTCTGGAAAGCCGTGCATGTTATTTTCGCCTTGATGGCGGGCTTCTACCTGGTATTCCGCATACATGAATCCACTCAAACGTATGGTGAGAATCCACCGGCACCAGCGACCTTCCAGAACCCGTTTGTTGTGTTCATGACCGGAGAACTAGTGGTCCAGGGCGCAAGAGCAGTATCAAAAGGCCAGTCGGGCAAAAGCGGAATAAGGCTGTGGATACAAATGGGCAAGGAATTCATCGGGGACGGCGCGATTATGGTGTTCATGCTGGGATTAGCGTCCTGGATGAAAGGAAGCTGAGGGTGGAAATATCCCAAGTACAAACCACAGCTGTTGTGTGTGGCGACATTATTGTCAGATGAGTTCTCTTTCCAGCGTACCTGCTTCTTTCACCTAGTCCGGCATTCGCAACTACAAGAACAAACACTGGACAGAAGCATCACACCACAAGCTTGGCCAAATAAGCGGGACAAGCCTGCCTGCATCTAGATTGCGAACAGTCCGTAATATGGGCGATGTCTGTCTCCTGGATTTGGCTGAGTTGCCGAGAGGGCTTCCCTCGGCTGGGCGCAGACTTCCGGAGGCTGCATGCTCCCGTTGGACTCAGCCGGGGCATTTCTCGCGCAGCACACCATTGGACCACCGATTCCATATGTCCAGGGTCAGATGTCATGCTCCAAGGGCGATGATGCAAGGCCGAGAGGGTTTTCTTTTGGCACGCGTGACGCTTTTGCGTGAGAGACCCCGCGGGGTATGGACTTGGGTTCCTTGGTATGGCGATTGCCATGAAGAGCTCGCAGGATCTGCGCAGACTCATGGATGGCAAAGCTGGCTTGGAAGACCAGACAGGCTATAGGGATCGCGATTCTCTGGCCATGGCTCCAACCCGGATGGACTGGGCTTTTCATGGCATTCCTCCGTAACTTGTCGCCGTCCGCAACGGATAAAAGGAAAATGGAGGGGCATCAGCTTCGGATTGGCGCGGCGACCAAGGAGCACCCATCGCTGGGCCCGGAAACCCAATCGAAACAGCTCCAGCCTTCCCCGTCCGCGCGAGGATTTTCAGTTAATTTCGTCAGACGGCGTCTCAAAAGGGACAAGGCACGCATGGGTCTGCGGGAGGGTTTGGGATTTTTGGGCAAAAACTCGTCTACTGGACTCTTGGGGCGTCGATTCGCCGCTGCGGGGTGAGTTGGATGGCGATTCGAGAGCTCCTTCTCCTCCGCGTCAGGCGATTGAATCGTATGTGCAAGCGAAAGGAGAGAGGGAGAAATGGAGAGCAACCGTTAGGGTGTACAAGCCAAGTGTGTTGAATTTCAATCGTCATCTTCTTGTTGGGTTTGCTTTGCCTGCACTATTCTATATTAGACCTCCTGATCTCCCCGCCCTGGATGCGGGTCCTGCTTCTCTACCCTTTGACGTTACGCACTGGTGCAACACGCACGATATAAACACCCACCCACTCCCCGCTCCTCGAGTCTATCTGAGCTCGACTTTTCCTCTCACGCTTGTTACTCTCCTCTCCTCTCCTATCATTGAACAAGGTCGCCGAGCAGTCCGTATAGAACAAAATGTCTGAAGGCGACGTCCAGCCTCCCAAAAAAGGGCCCGTCGTGGTAAGTCGCTCTTGTTATGTTCCTTTTCCCCGAAGTGTCTTCTCAAAAGTGTTTCTCACGCTGACCATGGGCACACAGGCGGAAGCCCACGAGGTCGACACCTTCCAGTAAGCTTCAAAGTCCGACTGTTAGCACGGCAGGCAGCTCTGACCTCCTTGCAGTGTTCCTAAACCCTTTTTCACCAAAGGCCCCGGAAAGGCTCACATTAAGGACCTCGACGAATACTATGCCATGTACAAGGAGTCCATCGAACAGCCGGATAAGTTCTGGGCAAAGATGGCCCGAGAACTACTGGACTGGGACAAAGACTTCAAGACCGTTCGGTCTGGCTCTTTCGCCAATGGCGACGCCGCGTGGTTTTTAGAGGGTCGCCTCAATGCCAGCTATAACTGCGTCGACCGCCACGCCTTCAAAAACCCCGACAAGCCTGCTGTGATCTACGAGGCAGACGAACCCGGTGAGGGTCGTGTCCTCACCTACGGCGAGCTCCTCCGCGAAGTTTCACGAGTAGCCTACACCCTAAAACAGATGGGTGTCAGGAAAGGCGATACCGTTGCCCTCTACCTGCCCATGATTCCTGAAGCAGTCATTTCTTTCCTCGCCGTCACCCGCATTGGCGCCGTGCACTCGGTTGTCTTTGCCGGTTTCTCATCCGGCTCGCTAGCAGACCGAATCAACGACGCCAATTCCAAAGTCGTCATTACCACCGACGAAGGAAAGCGTGGCGGCAAACTGATCGGGACCAAGAAGATTGTTGATGAAGCACTGAAGAAATGCCCGGGTGTCACTCACGTGCTCGTCTATCAGAGGACAGGTGCGGATGTACCGTGGACAAAAGGCCGAGATTACTGGTGGCATGAAGAGACTGCAAAATACCCCGCCTATATTGCCCCGGAGTCCATGGCATCGGAGGATCCTCTTTTCCTGCTCTACACATCGGGCTCTACTGGTAAGCCCAAAGGTGTCATGCACTCGACCGCAGGCTACCTCCTAGGTGCTGCAACAACCGGCAAGTACGTCTTCGATATCCACGACAATGATGTCTTCTTCTGCGGTGGTGATGTCGGTTGGATCACTGGGCATACCTACGTCGTATATGCGCCGCTCCTCCTTGGTGTCGCGACCGTGGTCTTCGAGGGTACGCCAGCCTACCCCAACTTCTCCCGATACTGGGACGTGATCGACAAGCACAGCGTCACGCAATTCTATGTCGCCCCCACCGCTCTCCGCCTGTTGAAGAGAGCTGGTGATGAGCATATCCACCATCAGCTGCACAAGCTGCGAGTTTTGGGCTCGGTTGGTGAACCAATCGCGGCCGAGGTCTGGAAGTGGTATTTTGAAGCTGTCGGCAAGGAAGAGGCTCATATTGTTGACACCTACTGGCAAACCGAGACCGGCTCTCATGTGATCACACCGCTGGCTGGTGTGACGCCGACGAAACCGGGCAGTGCCTCGCTTCCCTTCTTCGGTATTGAACCTGCGATTATTGACCCAGTCTCTGGTGAGGAAATTGAGGGCAATGATGTGGAGGGGGTGCTGGCATTCAAGCAGCCGTGGCCAAGCATGGCGCGAACTGTCTGGGGTGCACATCAAAGATACATGGACACCTATTTGAACGTGTACAAGGGTTATTATGTGAGTTTTCTCCCTGACAGGCTTCAAGGGACGGATCAACTGACGTTGAGAACAGTTTACTGGTGACGGCGCCGGTCGTGATCACGAAGGTTACTACTGGATTCGGGGTCGTGTCGATGACGTCGTTAATGTCTCTGGACATCGTTTGTCCACTGCAGAAATCGAAGCTGCCCTCATCGAACACGAAGGGGTCGCTGAAGCTGCCGTGGTTGGTATCAACGACGAACTCACGGGCCAAGCTGTCAATGCGTTTGTGTCGCTGAAGGATGGCGTGGATAGCGGTGAACCGATACGCAAGGACCTGATCCTCCAAGTGCGCAAGTCCATTGGTCCGTTTGCAGCACCAAAGGCCGTCTTCGTCGTCGACGATCTCCCCAAGACTCGCTCCGGCAAGATCATGAGGAGAATTCTAAGAAAGATTTTGAGCGGAGAGGAGGACAGCCTTGGAGATACGTCGACCCTCAGCGATCCCAGTGTGGTTGATAAGATCATCGAGACGGTCAAGGCGTCAAAGAAGAAGTGAGGGATGAATAAACCAGGTAGGGCGGTGCTGAAATAAATGTGGAAGATATACCCTCGGGGCACTTTTGATTGGATTTCTTCAGTGTATCTCAGCTATTTGGGACGAAGGGCAGCGGAGAGTATATAGCACTTTTTGTGTAGCATGGAGCTCCAGAAAAATCATTGTCATGACCGTCTTTTCCGTGTTTGCGCGTCTGAACTGCGGCGCAACTGGTCATCACTATGTGTTAGCTAGTCAGCTAGTTCAACCTTTGCTTCGATGACGCCAATTCCCGTCTCACCATTATTATACAAGTCAAGACTGGGCCATAAAAACCAATAGCCTGATTAGATTCACGACAGCTGGAATGTCTCCAACAATTTGGACGCCGTCAATTCCAACCAAGTCGTTCTCATCGTGGGATATCATCAGTTTCATCAAATATAATCAGAGGGAAACGCTCATTGCAGACAAATGGCATAAAAGGCCTCTTTCGCAACGCTTCCTGTCCCGTCATAGTCAAACTCCTCCACCATTGCCTGTATTTCTTCATCCTCGAGACCCGTCTCACCTAGTTCTCGAGCGACTCTGCGAATATCATCCACTTCAATGTAACCTCGCTGGTCTGGATCGAATAGTAATAGGGCTCGTTCAACTTCCTCTGTAGGGTCGCGTTCGAATATCTTTTGCGCCGCTATGCGCTGAAACGCGTTTTGTGGTAAAAGAAGCTGGCTAGAGTGATATGTCTGTTGTCCTTTGACGGGAGGCCCTCTCTTAAACTGTGGCTTCGGCACTCCTTGCGATTGCATGATCTGCGCGACTTCTGGCTTGGGCATAGAAAACCCTAAAGATCTCATCGCGACACGCACTTCATGGTAGTCTAGGTGCCGGTCCCGATCGAGGTCGAATAATGAGAACTGCAGAGTTAGTAACGTACTGTAGATGCAGGGTGAGTTCGGCGCATACGGCTTCATTTATTTCATCTCTTTGTTCCTCGCTTAATTCGCTAAGAGCGTTCGATTCTTTCTCCATACTCTGCCTCCCACCCAACGCGCCATGCTGGGGCGCGATAGACTGTCCGAACTGGTATTGTTGCTCAGGCCGTCGCCCAAATGTAGACTGCGGATACTGCTGGGAGGGAACAGTGGTTCCGGCCTTTTGCGCCGTGCGATCGGGGAGCTTACTCGAGGATGCATAGAGATTTCGACCTGGAAAAGAGGGATTCGACATTGACCTGCTCGTAGTGGGCGCAGCTGCGCCTTCCGTCACCTGGACTGCCTTTGACGCGACATGAAAGGTGAAATTGTTTAAGCAGAAATTAATCAGCAGAGAGTGAAGCAGATAGTATTTCGGAGGAACGTGATGCGGTAAATTGTTATCGACTTGACGCGACCGAGCCATAGGACGCGACTGGCGCATTCCCTCCATACGGGTCACATTGCCCGCTAACCACTCAAGCCACAAACATAATCCTACTGAGTTTGGTATCTTCTCTTCATTCCACCACCGCTGTCATCTTTGCGAATGAGGCCATAGCCGTGCTCACTCTCAAGTATTGGGCCCGGCCACCATGGTCTTGATACTAATATGCACAGACCTCATGGCCTGCAGCGAGTCATTATCCATTTCGACTACGACTGTTTCTACGCCTCAGTTGTCGAAAATGAGAACCCAGCCCTCAAATCGGTGCCGCTGGCCATACAACAAAAGCAAATTGTTGTAACCTGTAACTACGAAGCACGACGAAGGGGTCTGCGGAAACTTCAGCTTATCACTGAGGCCAAAAAAGTGTGCCCGGAGGTAGTGATTGTCCTAGGTGAGGACTTGACTCGTTTTCGTGATGCGTCCAAGGATCTGTACACTTTCCTCCAGCAGTCCATCTGGAGTGGGAGGGCAGAGCGACTTGGTTTTGATGAAGTCTGGTACGCTCGAGTCATCCAATTGTCAGCATCCTGCTGACGGCTCTACAGGCTCGATTGCACGGATATGGTAGACTACAACCTGGGTTTGCTCAATCCTAATGATCTTACTCACTCCTTCTTCTGCACGAACAGAGACGACCCTACGATTGGCTTCGCATACGACGCATCGAGTGTGTATGGTCCTACCTTTCCGTCGAGTCCGTCGCCCTCTATCCACGTCTCTCAAGAATACGAAGAGTTGCAAATGCGCCTCGTACTTGGCAGCCATCTCGCAAGACATCTTCGGCACGAATTGGAATCCCAGAAAGGATACACATCCACGGTGGGAGTGGCTATGAACAAGCTATTGGCGAAGTTGGCTGGAAATGTGAACAAACCCAAAAACCAAACAACAATTTTGCCACCATGTGAACGAGTTGGCGGTGCTGAGAGCACTGTTACCCAGTTTCTTGATGACCATGACATAGGAAAGATCCCCGGCATTGGATTCAAGCTGGCCCAGAAGATCCGTGCCCATATACTTGGGCGAGATGCGGCTTTTTCTGCAGGTCTAGTGTACGGTGGCACGAAAGAGTCAGTGACTGTTGCTGATGTCCGCACTTATCCTGGTATGGGATCTAAGCTGCTCGAGGATATTTTGGCTGGCCCAGGCTCAACAAAAGGTATTGGAGGAAAGATCTGGGACTTGATTCATGGGGTTGATGACTCGGAGGTCGCGAAAGTGAAGCGCATTCCTTCACAGATAAGCCAGGAGGATTCGTACATGAAGTACCTACACTCCTTCGAAGAAGTCAAAAAGCAGCTCCAAATTTTGGGTGAGAGATTGATTCGGCGCATGCATATTGATCTATTAGAGGACACCGACGAGGTTGGAGGCGATATCGAAATCCCGCAACGTCGCTGGGTTGCACATCCCCGGACTCTGCGACTGTCTACAAGACCTCGTCCAGCACTAGGTCCAGATGGAGCACGAGCTCGCATTTTTCAGCGCACTTCTCGATCGGGGCCTATGCCGAACTTTGTCTTCAGCCTGAATGAGACCCCGTCTGCGCTGGCCCACCGTTTGGTCGAAGAAGCACTGATTCCAATGTTTCGAAAACTACATCACGAACAGGCCGGCTGGAATCTCAGCTTAATCAATGTTGCTGCCACGAACATGGCAGAGACAGCAGCTGAGACAAAAGAAAGTCAGGGGCGGGATATTGGAAGGATGTTCCGGCGACAGGATGAGGTGCTCAAGGATTTCAAAGTGACCGTCCACCCACAGGAAGCGGAGCACAATGGGTTGTCCATCCCGATGTCTCCAGCTGCTGAGTCCTCCGACGCAATAATGGCAAACTTCGAAATTGACATGTCGGCAGAGGATGCCTGGGAATCGGAAGATAGCGAGAGCCAGCCATTGGAGCGGTGCGAGGTCTGTGAAAACATCATTCCGGCATTCGCATTGGCTGCGCACCGGAGGTACCACGATTTAGTCGTAAGCCATGATGAATAGACGCGAGGTCCACCAGAATCCAGCTGGACCAAAAGCCCAGATTTCTCGTACAGAGTAGTTCTGATTGCGAGAGAAGGCTGTTCAATCACGGGTGGATCAGTGGCTCAGCTGTCCTGGACACACAAAAGTCTTCGTACATAGCTGGAAGAGCAAGGCGACGCCGAAATGGTGCCCAATTCACCCATCACTGCCCTCGGAAGCGGAGTCACTATTATCCGTGGCCAGACTTTTGTCGGCATCGTGGGGCCAGGGTACTTGACAACCTTAGCAGATCTCACGCCTCTCTGGTGCGTGAGAGTGCTGACTACTCCAATTCTGGACTCCTCGTTGGGTGCTCGTCGTCTATTTTCAACCCAAACTTTCTCTCGCCTATTTCTGAAAACTCATCAACCCCGTCACCCAATGCATCTGGCCCTCTGCCCCTTGGGCTGCCCCCATTTCCCCCGATAGTATCATTTCAACCGCCAATTCTGGCCTTGCTGGCCTCTTCCCCATCACCCCTCCTTCAGGCAGTTCGATGCCGAAAATAGAGTCGAGCGCCTACGGATATGCGATCAAGGCCACGTTTTGCCCAATCTTCTCTAGCATTATCCCAGGACTGTTCCTGCATCTCGTGCTCTGGGCCAAGATGAAGCCGCCCAACTTCGTAAGCTAATGCGCACACCCTGTCCACCAGCTGTATCGTTCTCCAGCTCTTCCTCCGGCCCAACAATCAAGCCACAGCTGTTACTCCATTCTCTCCAAGACACTCCTAACCGCCGACACCTGGTCAACGGATCCTGGAAAAGCACCAGGTCCGCCTGATGCCTGAAAGAGCAGGACAAGATCCCAAATACTCCAGGATTCGCCTGCACTGGTTTGCCTAGCTGAGGCAATGGCGGCAAATTTGGGAACATCTTTTTTCGCCGGCTACTTGCCAGGATGACGCGGTGGGTACTCAGCACCGTTTGTCCCTTCCTACACCTGCAGCCATATCAGCTGCTCACGCCCGAAGACCTGCGTTCCATCTCCCCTTCTTACACGGTGCTGCCAATGTTGGTTTTATAGGTGTCGTGATGCTTATGTGAGGCCCATGGGCATTTTCCTGGATGCGAGTTTTTGCATTAAGTTGGTGTGGCCCAGTGACCAAGATACTGACGAGAAGGCTCCAACGATCTGGAGTTGAGCTCACCCCTTACGTGCTTACTCGCGTGCACGACCCCCGACCATCCTAAATCCCAACCCAAAACCCTCTCGCTAGATCCCTCTTATCCACTTGGTCCTACCATAAGAACTACGGGGATATATGAGGGAGTTCAGCTGGAGTTGAAAGGCGAACTTCTCGATTTCATGAGCGGGTCTTCGGCGTTGTCAGAGGCTTCTGCAGCAAGCAAAATGCTTGCCATATCTATGGCTCAGCCTATACCACATATCCTATCTCACCTCGACCCGGTTCTCCCATTATCCATGTTTCCGACAGAAAATGTCCGACCTCTACATCCTCCCTCACCGGGGAAAAAACCAAAACTATCACTAAGGACTTCAGATCTCGCTCCGACCTTTCATGGATCGACCAGTTGTCAGACCGGAAGCAATACTGGTGCTACCACGACCCCAACGACATTAAACACATTCAATAATACATTTGATCTTGCCTACAGACCTTCACCAGTGACAACGCTTCCATCACCGGGGACGCATTCGCAACCAAGAGGAAGTGCACATTCGAGCTCTCCGGTTGTAAAGCTCTCAGAGCATCCTTACATCCTAAATTTGCCTTTTGGCGTCCATTCGATATTGAAAAATAGTCCGCTTCCGCGAGAAATTCGCCGACCGTCTGTCAGCGCAAGTCCTCGCTTGGCTGGTCGACGAGTGTTTTTTCCAGCGATCAAGAGGGTCGCATTCCGTGCCGAATTGGAGGAAGAAATTTTCACAAAGACCTACACCATGCGCCACGCAGACCTGAGTTCGTCCGATGAGGAATCTCAACCTTCCGAGAATGAAGAGCAAAGTGGAACCTCCACCGATGAGGACGGTGGCGGCGAGGTAGGCCGCCAAATCCGTGTGGATGAAGTTTCGCCGCGCAAGAAGAGGAAGCGGAAGTCTGTTGCCGTGTCTCCATCCCCTTCATCTGAACTGGACCGAGGCAGACAAGAAATACCGCAATGCGCAACTGCGAGTTCGAAACGGAAGCGACGGAGATGGGAATGGACTATAGACTCGTCAATATCTGGTCTAGCTCGATCGGGGGAATTGTCTGAAGAAGTCAGAAAAGATCAGAGCCTTCCATTGGAAGAGCCGAGAAGATCTCTAGATGCAGATGCGGTGCAGGATGTGAAGCGGTCTGAGGAGAATGGAGAGATCAGACAGGTACAGGATTGTCTAAGCGGCTGAAGATGCATATTACCAAAGAATTCTATGTACGAAATAACGATATGGTATTCCAAGCATAAAATGTATGAGTCCTGAGATATGTAATTGTGAGGGAGGGTAAAGTGAACCCGCCACGTGTTTTGGCCCTGCAGAAATGGTTGTGCGGGCGGACGAGACACTTCAACCATTTGATCTGTAGGAATTTCGAAAATTCTCAGCTTTATCATCACCATCCTTCTCGGGTTCCAATCCTTGCGGACGAACTGGTTTAACCTTTATTTCCACCGCCACAGCCTCCGCCTACAATGGACCGATCATTGAAATGTTTCACCAACTGTCTGCTTTGCATCTCGGGAGAATTGGTGGCTCAAGATCTGTACTTTAGCACTGAGCAAGGCACTATCACGCCTAACTACTACTTTCGGCAAGAAGGCGTCGAGAGAATAGATCTCGGTGGCAAAATCATTGCGCCCGGGTTTCTAGATCTGCAGACCAACGGGATGAAGGGTGTACATTTTACGCAACTGGCCCTGGGTGATGGTCCCGAGACCGACGAAGGCAAGTTGGAAGCCGTCAGCAAAATGGAAATTCGCCATGGGGTGACGGGCTGGTGGGCAACAGTTCCTACGGTAGACAAGGACCGGTGGAAGCAGGTAGGCTGATCTCGCTTCGTCTGCTCTCTGTCTGGTCTGTTTGCGATCGAGATAATATTTCAACCAGTCTGTTTTCACCGGCGTGCTGAACTCTGCCTTCAGATAGTACCTCTGTTGAAACCACAAACATTTGACTCGGGCGCCAACTTGCTAGGCGCACACGTCGAGGGACCGTATCTCAACGCCTCGAAGAAAGGAGCGCATAACGCTGTCTACCTCCAAGAACCTACGCAGATATCTCCGTCTGACTTATATGGCGAGGGCAATCTCAGGCACGCAATCAAGCTGATCACACTGGCACCAGAGCTGCCTGGGTCAACCGCGCTCGTGGGCCATCTGCAGGAAGAATACCCTCACATTGTCATCTCTTTGGGACATTCAGCGGCCACTTATGAAGAGGGGTTCGCTGCTCTGCAACTGGGTGCTCGAGCATTGACACATGTCTTTAATGCAATGCTGCCTCTCCATCATCGCAATCCTGGGCTTGCTGGACTGATGGGAACCGGTAAATGCTACTACTCGATCATTCCAGACGGAATACACCTGCACCCTTCAGTGGTAACCCTTTGTCTGCGGACGGATCCGAGAAAATGCATCTTTATCACCGACAGCATTGAACTTGCTGGCCTACCCGACGGCGTACACGACGGGCACGGACAGATCGCACAGCACCAGCTCAAGCAAGGCAACAAAGTGACCATTGAAGGCACAGATACATTGATTGGCAGTTGCTGTACACTGGACGAGTGCGTGCGCAATGTAGTGGCATACACCGGGTGCAATCTTGCCGAAGCTGTGCAGTGTGTTACAGAAAACGTGGCGGATATGATGGGTGAAAGCAAGAGAGGGAGGCTCGAGCCTGGTCGACGCGCCGACTTTGCAGTTCTAGACCAGGAGGGACATGTGTTGGAGACATGGATCGGCGGGAGCAAGGTATGGTCGAGCTCGTGATGCAAGGCTTGACAGTACTCCCCCCATGGTGAAAGCCACTAATAGAGAGCAACCGAGTGAGGAGCGGATTATGATAACACTGTGTGGCGTAAGTGTGCAGATCGAGATAGACTCAAAGTCAGATATACGCTTGTGGTTTCCTAACAAGTACCTGTGCAAGGCAGGCAACGCGCTTTCGGACCTGAAGCTGTTTAGCTTGATGCAATTTCCATGATTTTTGGAGTGTTGGCTGACGATGGCGTGTGCGGTTTGGATCTTGATCGCCAGCTAAGCGATGAGGTTTCGCCTAGAAATGCCCCGCCGGACCCCCAAGTAAGTCTAGTATCGACGCCCTGTTGGTTCGTTTCCAGGCTTGGGGCAAGCCACACACGCCTTTTGTTAGGCCCCGTCACCCCCGTCACCCCCTGTCGCCCCCGTCGCGGGTGATGGCTTGGTTGCAGGTCAGTGTGGTTACGTCACAGCAGATCGGGAGCAGACATCATACTCCCAAAAACTGCAGCTTGCCAGCCAACTATGAAATTCACAAGGGAGCAGTCTCTTCCATGCTAAATTGCTCACCATTCTCCTCTCATAGTTTCCCTTTGTCTGTCTTCTCTCCTCCTCTCACACTCCTTTCCTCGTCGTCGGGAGCTTGCCGCCCCATCTGTTGCAGCTTTGCTGGTCTCGCGCTATCCCTTCGAGAGCCTTTGGCCTCAGGCACAACCACTCTGTCAATTAGGGCTTCGCCCTCTTCCCACAAGAGGTGATTATGGAGGCTCAACAGCAGAAGCCGGGAAAGCCCTGGAGTGGCACAAATCGAATCCCTAACATCAAGGAGTTCGTTGCACATCTTGACAAAGACAAGTCCGAAAGAGACAAGGCTATCGATGCTCAGAAGCTTGCTGGAGAGGCTCAAAAGTATTCGGCTGAAGTCACTCCACACAAGAATGAACAACAGAAGAAAGGCGGCAAAACAGTAACCGATCCGGTCACTGGCAATCAGGTGGTCATTGCCGATGTCGGGAAGGAGTATATGGAAAGGGCCGATGACCCTAAGGTATGAGTGAAACTCCCTCCAATCTGGCGGGTTCTCGACTGACCTTGGACTAGCTATCAGTGCCAAATGCCAACCTGGGCCGACCTACTACAGTAGCGACGGATCCTTCGCAGAAGAACCCAGAGTACAAGGAAAAGCAAGACATCACTGCTCCTCCAGACCCAGTTGCCGAGGGCAGCACTTCTGACGTCCCCATTCATGGAGAAAAGACCAACATTCTGTTCCACCCGACCCCTTCAGTTAGTTATGAGCCGATGTTCGAGCTTCTCGAAAATCGGGCTGGTGGACTATGCATTGCCATCCTCATATCCATTATCGTTTTTGGGAAAATGTTCGGCGGCTCTCTTAAGGGTCTGATTCCATTGGGCATGTGCCTCGCTTCTGCCGTCTGGTTGTGGATGAAAGAGGTGGTTCGAAGTGGCCGTGAGGTGGAATGGAGCAGTGAACAGAGCAGAGGAGAAACGGTAAGTCTTCGGATCCACTCAGTGGCCAGACATAGCCTGAGGCTGACATCTATAGGCTGTGGCCAACCTCCTCCCTGAATCAGTCGAATGGATGAACACATTCCTGGGCGTTGTTTGGGGCTTGATCAACCCGGATATGTTTGCCGCTGTGGCAGACACCCTAGAAGATGTCATGCAAGCATCTGTCCCTGGTGTCATCAACAACGTCAGAGTGGCCGAAATCGATCAAGGAAGTAACCCAATCCGAATTCTCAGTCTGCGGGCTTTGCCTGACTCCAAAATGCACGAGCTTAAGAAGAGCATTCATGAAGAGAACAAGAAGACCAAAGACCCTCAGGAGGCGGCAGCAGACGAAGAAGGTGGTGATTATTATAACCTCGAGATTGCCTTTGCGTATCACGCCAAACCCGCTGGTAATCGTGCGTCTGCTGCTTCGAGGGCCAGGAACATGCACATGAACCTTGTCTTCTATCTCGGAATCAAGGGGCTCATCGGCGTACCGCTTCCTATTTTCGTTGAACTTCAAGAGCTTGTCGGAACCGTCCGCTTGCGGCTGCAGATGACCCCCGAACCACCTTTTGCAAAGAGTCTCACCTTCACCCTGATGGGAGTTCCTCATGTTCAAGCCGGCTGCATTCCCATGGTGCAGAAGGGGGTTAATATCCTCAATCTGCCGTTGATATCTAACTTCGTCAACTATGCGATAGGCGCAGCGGCAAGCATGTATGTGGCTCCAAAATCAATGCAGCTCGACCTGAAGTCCATGCTGCAAGGAGACGACATCACCAAAGACACACAGGCCATGGGTGTCATGTGGGTCCGCATCCATCGTGCCATCGGCCTCAGCAAGCAAGATCGTCGAGGAAGCAAATATGGAGGAAGCGACCCTTACATCAACCTATCCTTCTCCAAATATGGAAAGCCAATGTACTGCACTCGTGTCATCACAGACGACCTCAATCCCGTTTGGGAAGAAACCGCAGCTCTTCTTGTCACACCTGAGCTCATCAAAGCCGACGAACAACTCAGTGTGGAGTTGTGGGACTCCGACCGCAACTCTGCGGACGATATAGTAGGAAAGGTTGAGCTGTCCATGCAGAAAATGATTCAACATCCGGGCAAAATGTATCCTCAAATCTCAAAGCTCGCCGGCACCCACCAGGGCAGCGAGATGCCGGGTGAGCTGCATTGGGAAGTGGGCTACTTTGGCAAACCCAAATTTCGACCTGCTCTTCGTACCGATGGCAAGGACAAAAACCTACCGGACGAGCTCAAGAATGACGAGAAGCTCCAAGATGAGAAAGGTGTTATTGACTCTGAAGACGCAGATGCTGTGGCACATACTCCCCCTGACCCGTTGTGGCCTAGTGGTATCTGCAGTGTTATCATTCACCAAATTGTCAGCCTCGAACTCGAGAACATCAAGGGCAGTGATGGCAATAGAAAGGGTAAAGAGTTTGAGCCAGCCAAGCCCTACGGGGAGGGCACCGACGAAGAGTCGATCAGTAAGTCCCAAGATTTTGGTTGCTCCCTTCTGCGTACTGACCAATGAAACAGAACTCCCAACTTCCTACTGTACAATCCTGTTCAATGATACGCTGGTGTACCGCACACGAGCCAAAGCTGTCAGCAGCAAACCCATCTTCAACGCCGGCACCGAACGCTTTATGCGAGACTGGAGGTCCGGAATAGTCACAATCACTGTGCGTGATCAGCGGAATCGCGAGCACGACCCTATCTTGGGTGTTGTGCCCCTTCGCCTGTCAGATATACTCACCACGAGTTCTCAAGTGACCAGATGGTATCCTCTTGATGGTGGCATTGGGTTTGGCAGAATCAGGGTTTCGTTGCTTTTCCGAAGTGTTGAAACTCGACTCCCTCCTAATATGCTAGGCTGGGATGTTGGCACCTTTGAATTCATTTCTGACAGAATCGTGACCATAGGTTGGAAGGCCAATTCAAAGCTAAAACTCCGCACAGGTGGTAGCGTTGGTAAAATCCCCCGAACACAGTGCCACAGTAATGAAGGTGGTGATGGCGTCTACTTCGATGTCTCCAGTGAGAACAACAACCACATCCGTCTACCTGTCAAGTACCGATATCGATCTCCAGTCATCTTTGAGTTCCACGTGACAGGCAAACGTGGAGCAGCGGCGTACGCTTGTATCTGGCTTCAGAATCTGATTGACAACGAAGAAACACCAATCGATATTCCCATTTGGACGACCAAGAATGGCAACCGACTCGTACAAAACTACATCACTGAAGAGAATGCCAAAGCATTTATGGATAAAGGATTAGAAGATCTGAAGGAAGTTGGCCGACTCCAGTTCCGAGGCCGCTTCAAGGCTGGCATGGATGAGTCGCACCGAGACTTTATCGTGGACAACAATAGTCGGGAGACTTATGAAACGTTCGAGGCATGCTTGACCGAAGGTGTGCGCGAGCGAGTTGTCCAAGGCGAGGTGCCAGAAAATATCCAAGAACTGCACGAGGCTTCTCTGAAAGAGGGCCGTGACATTCTCCACCAAGAAGTGTCGGAGAAAGAGAAACGCATATGGCTCAGCAAGACTGGCGAAGACTGGTCTGGGGCATTCAGTCATGATCCCAGGGCTTACACCAATAAAAAGCACGAAAAGATTGCCGAGCCCGGTACTGACGAACCTCCCCACGACCCATATAACCCGTCAGATAATGATGATGACGACGACGAGCCTATTGATGATGACTCATCGGACTTGGGCATCACTGATGCCACCAATATTCCGGAAGGAGCATTCCAGAAGGACCCGAAGGACGTTGATGGCCTCAATGGCTATGCTGAAGGTATGAATGGGCGGCCCAGTGCTGATACCACAGCAACAGGTGAGACCGGCTATACAACCATGACCGAGACATCGACGAACTCAGTTCAACCTGTGCAGAAGAGAGATAGCGGTTTCGAGAAGAAGACCGGAAAACGAGCGGAGGAACGCAAGCATCGAGGGTTGTCGCAATGGACACCGGCGAGAAACGTCAAGTTTGCCAAAGATGAAGCCAAGATTGGAATGAGCAAGATCAAGAAACGATTCACAGGAGGGCTTGGTGGGAGAGAGCCTGGTGTCGAGACTGAGGCTTGAACAAGATACAGGCCGATGAGTTATGTTTTGTCTTGTTCGAGTAAACAGGTGTACCAGGAAGAAAGTAGGAATGGGTATTGGGCGATTGGAAAGCTGAAAGGCAAAACTGTGACACAGTACGGCGCCATTCGCAAGTGTCAGAGTAATCGGAGTTTGGCAGAATCCAACGTTGATTACACGTCCCTATTCATATTGTGGGTATCTAGTGTTGTCTCAGAGGCGTTTGGGGAGACGTTGGCACCCAGGGGCAGAACGGATCTGCCGATATCCGAGATACTTGTACTTGTGCCTCGTACCTCGTAGTGTGCGGACATGGTGGTCGAATAGTCGCTCGCCTGTAACTTGTGAGCTTGGCAATGGAACCCCTTCCAACTGCTAACCACTTGGGTGTTGGTAGTGGCTGAGTCGCAGGATCTGTGTTTACGAGTAACGGTTTTCTCACAGTCCTTGGGTTACCTCATATGACCACCTCTTTCTAGTTATTGATGCCGTGGTCATTACTCAAATTGGGTTGGATAACAGCGGGATTATGCCTCGGTACATCTATTGATAGACTGGGCACACTCGAGGTCAAGTGTTGATTTGAACGGAAACAGATATTGTCCCAGATGGGAGAGAGAACCAACGAACTCTGGTGTGTAGATCTTCTTCTGGAGTGAATCTTGACTGACTGCGGGTGTTTAGCGATCGGAGTTTTGCTGAGCGTGGCAATGATTGCTTTAGTGGTTCCTTGGCGACTCGTCATGCTGGGAAAGGTGGGTAGGGAGCCAGGGCGCCTTTCCGGATCCCGATCATTTGGGTGGCTGCGCCCACCGACTTACTCGTACCCAGCCCGCAACCCGCTGCAAGGCGGCGGGTTTCCTCCTCATCCTGCTCGTTGCACTTCTCTGCCGTTGCTCGCAGCGCCCATCCCATTATCATTACCACTGCACCTTCGTCCGCACTGCCCGTCTGGGCATACGACAACTACATTCGTTCTTCTTGATCTACATACATCTATCGTTCAACCTTAACTTCTGTGTACAGTACACAGGCCATCTTCAGTCCATCCTGCCCTCCACTAGCATAATTACATCTCGAAGCAGTTCTGCCTGCGCCGTCGACACATCCATCCCGACCTACTCACAACAACCACCGCTGTAAGAGGGATTTCTCTGCTGACTGACCCGACCGACTTACTCTCCGTTCGGACAATTGCTGTATAACGTTTCCTTTTGGGCGCCTGGATTGCCATCTCAATGCAAACTGAATCCAGAGCAATCTAAACACTCTCCGCAACCTGCGCAACCTCGCCCTCAGCCTTCTCTCTAATTTTCCGTCAGCGCAACATGCGCCTTCTTCAGAATCTCGCCACGGGCGTCGCATCATGTCTGTTGCTGTTGTTTGCGAGCACGGCCGATGCACACTCTCGATCACGGAATCCTTTAAACTACCTATCATTAATTGAAAACCCTCGAATACAAACACCATCACAAAGGGTGCACTGTACATCCAGCTTCGACTTGACTTTCGACCTACATCAGAGCACAGAACATGTTCGACTGAGCCTGGAGCCGAACCATGACATAATTCACGAAGACTCTTACGTTGAATATATCGACAAATATGGCAACATCAGACACGTTGAGAAAATGCAGCGTGAGGAACACAAGATTTACCAGGGTAAGGCTTTTCTCGTTAACGACGACGGAGTAAACCAACATGTCGGCTGGGCTCGAATTGCTATCAGGCGCGATGGCGTCAAGCCTCTCTTTGAGGGTGCTTTCACTGTCATGGGCAACCACCACAACGTCCAATTGAAGTCAAACTACATGGCCACCAAGCACGAGCTTGATCCCGAACTGGAAGAAGATGAAGATGAGTATATGGCTGTCTGGCGTGATTCGGACGTCAGCCGGCAGTCTCATACGGAACTGAAACGGAGCGCGGGCTTGACCTGTGCTTCTGACAAGTTGGAGTTCAATACTCATCCAGACCATCCCATCTACCGCGACTTGATGCTCAAACGTGACGATGGCTTCTGGGGAGACATGGGCGCCATGTCAATTGCCAATATGTTTGAAAAACGTCAGAGCAACATCGATGGTGGCGGGGTGGGCTCAGGCAATTCAGCGGGAGTCAATCTGGCTTCTACCATCGGTAGTACCGCAGGCTGTCCAACCACTCGCAAAGTCGCCTTGGTCGGCGTCGCTACCGATTGCACATATACCGCGAGTTTCAACTCAACCGACACCCTGCGACAAAACGTTATTAGCTTGGTCAATACTGCCTCTGAGTTGTATCAATCTACTTTCAACATCACTCTCGGTCTCCGCAATCTGACTGTTTCCGACGGCGAATGTCCAGGGACACCAAGCACTCAGACGGCGTGGAATGTAGGTTGCTCAAGCAGCACCGATATAACACAACGGCTCAACCTCTTCTCTTCATGGCGTGGTCAACGAGGAGACGACAATGCTTACTGGTCTCTCTTCACTACTTGTAACACTGGAGCTGAAGTTGGCCTGGCCTGGCTTGGACAATTGTGCAATCACGGTTCCACTTCACAGCAAGACACTAGTGGCAACTCTCAGAGTGTCACTGGCGCAAATGTCATCGCGAAAACATCTAGTGAGTGGCAAGTATTTGCTCACGAAAGCGGACATACTTTTGGAGCCGTCCACGATTGTGATTCCAGCACTTGCGGCGATTCTAACGTTGTCAACTCTGGCCAATGCTGCCCACTGTCCTCCAGCACTTGCGATGCTAATGCTCAATACATGATGAATCCCTTCTCTTCACCAGACATTAGTAAATTCTCGCCCTGCTCCGTCGGGAATATTTGCAGCGCCTTAGGCCGCAACTCGGTCCAGTCACAGTGTCTTACTGACAACAAAGGTGTCGTTACCATTAGCGGCAACCAGTGCGGTAATGGTATCGTCGAGGAAGGTGAAGACTGTGATTGTGGTGGCACCGAATCTTGTGCTGGGAACAGCTGCTGCAACCCCACAACTTGCAAATTCAATACAGGCGCAGTTTGCGACCCCAGCAACGAGGGCTGTTGTACGACGACTTGCCAGTTCGCTTCTGTTGGGACTGTCTGCCGAGCTAGCACTGGTCAATGTGATCCTGCCGAGACATGCTCTGGCACCAACGGAACATGCCCTACAGACACCACCGCACCCGACGGGACTGACTGCGGCAGTGGGCTCGAATGTGCCAGTGGCCAGTGCACGAGTCGAGACCTCCAGTGCAAGACTCTCATGGGTAGCTACACGAGCGACAATGACACCTATGCTTGCAACAGCCAAACCTGCAGTTTGAGTTGTGCTAGTCCAGACTTTGGACGAAACGTCTGTTACAGCATGCAACAAAACTTTCTCGATGGTACCCCGTGCGGTGGTGGTGGTCGATGCGAGAATGGTGTATGCAGAGGCAGCTCCATTGGGGGCGAAGTCAAGTCTTGGATTGATGACAATAAAACTCTGGTGATCGCTTTAGCCAGCGCAATTGGGGGTCTCATACTACTAGCTATACTGGGATGCTGCATCAGGGCATGCAGACGACCAAGGGGAAAGAAACTGAATGGCATTGTCCCTGGGCAACGCCAAAACAGAGGTGGAGTTCAAGGGGCACAACGTGGCGGCTGGGAGGGACCTCAAATTCCCCCCCAGATGAGAGACCGTGGATATGGCGGCGGATGGGAACCGTCGCCTGTACAAATGACCTCGCCACATGGCTGGTACCCTCCTCAACCACCGCCTGCGTACGGTGGTTGGGATGGCTATCCCCAGCGAGGAGAAAGTGCGAGGTATGCATAAAGGAGATACGTGGCGACAAAACTGTACAGACAGAAAGAGGCGAGTGATGTACAGCCTTGTACTGGACAAAGGGATATCTATGCCTGTATAGATCGGGTATTAGAACGGACCGGTGAACTCACTACATATTTTATACGGCGTCAAAAGTTCTTGGGTATCGGGGTTTCACTTGACATGACCTACTTGACGAACTGAATCAAAGTGAATGATCATTACCAACCATCCCGAGTCTTTCTTTTTGAGCTCGAGCCACGGCCTTTGAGATGTGCTTGTTCCATTATGTGATTGAATTGTATACTGTATACGAGATCCTCGCCGTTGTATGCTCGGCAGGGGTCCGTAGCTAGTTGCTCTGATGGACGCCGGGTGGGAACCCCGTGGGACAGAAGCGGGCAAATACCGAACGCAAGTTTTCGAGGGTACCACATTTTGAGCATCGGATATCTCTGTTGGTGAAGTTACCAGTTGATGTGTCAGGGCAATCTCTACGCCCGATGCGCAGAGGAACCAGTCTGGGTGAAGAAAACGAGGCCGTGGTGGCTATCAAAGCCTGATCAAAGTGATACAGAACGGGGAAAAGTGAGATTATGGTTAGACATCCGTTGGGTGGTTGGGTGGCAGTCCGTGGTTAATAAGTGGTTAATATGAAGAGCGACATTGTTTCTCCCGATCTCGCAATCATTTCCTGCCCCCTCTCACTGGTCACCCCAGCTGCCCTTCTCACACTCTCTGTACTCAGTATATGGCTTTTTATCCTCCCAAGTCGCACTTCCCCGATTTTTTTTCTTGATCTAGGTTCTTGTGGTGTTCAGGACTCATGAACCTCAACTTCGCAACGACCACCGCAGCAGTCCGATCCGCCTCTCGTCAAGTGTTTCGAGTAGAGCTACCGCTCGCTAACAGAGGCAGTCCAACGCATTCGAGCCATACCCGCGTTTCTCGCTGCGCTTTCTCATCCTCGCCTGGAATGGACGCCAAGTTTGCGCCTGCAAAGCGCGTCGCGGGGCAGAGGCAGGATGTTTGGTCTATCGTCAACGAGGCCGCCGCAGCGTCTCCCGTGCAGCCGATTGTGAACATGGGCCAAGGGTTTTTGTGAGTATGCAGGCACACGCACCGACATGACTGCTCGTCCCCATTGTGGAAGGCTCGAGGACTAATACCTGGTCAACAGTGGCTACAATCCACCCCAATTCATCATTG